TCTTGAAAACTCTCCGGGCTAATGGGTTTGCTACGTTTCTTGATCCCAAAATTTCTCCTCCGGAGCAATTCTTGACAAATTCCGATGGCTCGTCATCCACAAATCCGGCTTCTTGCAGTGGTCGCTTACTGACCAAAATCTATCGGCCTCCATCTGCTCAACGATTTCGTCTTCTATTCTTCCTTACGTCATCTCGCTGGACTCGACAGCCAAGCTCTGGACGGCGCTTGAAACTCGATTTCAAGCCACTAACCGGTCAAAAGTGATGCAACTCAAAAATGCCTTACACAATGTATCACTCAAGAATCAGTCTATAACCGAGTATTTGTCGGAGATCAAAAAGCTTGTCGATCAAATTGCTTCAGCGGGTTCTTCCCTTGATGCTGAAGACGTTATTCATTACATCTTGAATGGGCTTCCTCAACCATATCAATCGTTCAAATCTGCCATTCGGACGTCTCCTCTTCCTCTTACGCTGGATCAGATTTATCCTCTTCTTATGAGCGAGGAAATTAACCTCGCCTCTGATGCAACAAAGTTTTCTGCGCCCTCTGATCTAAGCGTGGCTCTGTTCACAAATCGAGGCCGCGGTCGACGTCCCAGAGGCAAGAATAACTACGGTGTTACCAATATACCCAGAAATAATCCTAATGCAGCAATTTGTTGTCAAATTTGCTCCAAGAAAGGTCACACGGCTCAAACGTGTTGGCATCGTCTTGATTTGAACTATACACCTACGGTCAAGAATACAAACACCGCTCTGATGGCGTCGTAAGATTCGACTGAAGCTGCTTGGTTTTTGGACTCCGGTGCCTCCACGCATCTCACTAACTCGCTGGACAATCTTTCTTTGTCCAAGCCTTACTGTGGTTCAGATAACGTCACCATAGGGGATGGATATTCGGTTGGCATTGCTCACGCTGGGGCGGGAATTCTCCCGACCCCATCTCGTAAGCTAAAACTATCTCAAATTCTTCACACTCCTACTCTTAAATACAACTTTCTTTCCATCTCACAACTTACTAAAGATAATTTTATTTCCATTACTTTTGACCCTTTTGGTTTTACATTGAAGGATTTAGCGACGCAGGAAACACTTCTTCAAGGACCGGCTAAAGATGGTCTATATGAGGTCCCAATGGTCCAGCAATCTCGGAAGCATACTGCTCTAACGACGCAACAAGATGTAGCTAAAGTTTGGCATCAACGCTTGGGACATCCTCATAACCGTGTTTTCAATTTTATTTCAAATTGTAATCCAATGCTCAAAATAAATAAAACTCAAAATGCTTGTGAATCATGCACGGCTGCTAAATGCCATAAATTGGTTTTTCAACATTCTCTTAATAGGCAGCTACACCCGCTTGATCTTATTCACAGCGACGTCTGGGGTCCGGCCCCGATCACCTCAAATCAAGGATTTCGGTTTTATGTGATTTTTGTTGATGACTATACCCGTTATACTTGGATATACCCGCTTAGATTTAAATCTGATGTGTTTACTACTTTTGTAAATTTTAAAACTCAGATTGAAAACTATACCGCGCGTCGTATAAAAATGCTTTGAACCGATGGCGGAATAGAATTTGTAAATTCGTCGTTCCAAAATTTTCTTCTCAATCACGGCATTTCGCACCAAATTTTGTGCCCCTACACACCGGAACAAAATGGTCTAGCGGAGAGAAAGCATCCCCGCATTATAGAAACTACTCGTGCCCTCCTCCTCACGGCCTCTATGCCTCACATCTACTGGCCGGAGGCTGTCACCACAGCCGTCTACCTCATAAATAGGTTACCTTCCTTCACAACTCATAATCATACTCCTCTGGAACTTATGTATAACAGGAAACCGATGTATGAGGAGCTTAAAATTTTTGGATGCAAGTGCTATCCTTTTTCCCCACCTCAGCATCGCTACAAACTCACGCCAACTGCTATACCGTGCGTTTTTTTGGGGTATTCCGACGTCTACAAAGGTTACAAGTGTCTCAACACTCAAACAAATAAAATAACGGTATCTCGTCATGTTATTTTTTACGAACACATGTTTCCTTTTGCCATGTCTTCTGTTAACATTTCTAGTAAACAGCCGGATATCTGTCCGCAGTTCTTAATGCCACATTCTATTAGTGTGTCTCATACAGCTGAACAGGGTATGAATACTAGTCCTTCCGTGGAAGATGTCTCTCGCCCACACCATACTGACTCGCAGAACAACATCATTCCTCAACAATATGCTCCGTCTCCGGGAGCTAACCCTCCTGCTACTCGTCCTGTCTCTCAACATATTATGACTACCAGAAGTAAAATTGGTTCTTTAAAACCAACCAAACGGATGAATCTTCTGCACATCTCTAATAACGTGTTGGAACAAGCCGATCCCACCACATACCTTGAAGCCTCCAAGAACAAGCATTGGCGCCATGCAATGGCTGAAGAAATATTGGCTCTTCAGAAACAAGGCACCTGGACCTTAATTGCTCCACCTGCGAATGCCTCTATACTCGGTTCTAAATGGACGTATAAAACAAAATATCACACTGATGGTTCGGTTGCAAAATACAAAGCACGTTTAGTCGCTCAAGGAAACCATCAGGAGTTTGGCATCGACTATGTAGAGACATTTAGTCCGGTTGTCAAGTTACCAACGATCAGAATCTTGCTAACCATTGTCTTGTACAAAAACTGGTCGGTTCAACAACTTGACGTCGCGAATGCGTTCTTGCACGGCACTCTAGCTGAAACGGTCTACATGGCGCAACCAAAAGGTTTTGAGGATCATTCTCGTTTGCATCATGTTTGCAAATTAAACAAAGCCATCTACGGACTAAAGCAGGCACCACGTCAATGGTACAACACATTCACGTCGTTCTTAGTACTGCTCGGCTTCGTCCACAGTACCGCCGATCCCTCGCTTCTGATATACCGAAAAGATCACATTCAAATATTTCTTTTTGTCTACGTGGATGATATTCTCATAACGGGAAATGACTCAAATCAAATTAAATTCATTCTCTCTAAACTAAACTCTGAATTTTCTATGAAACATCTTGGCGATGTTCATGATTTTTTGGGTATCAAGATTCATAAATCTAACAACTCTTATTTCTTATCTCAGGCAAAATATGCATATGGCATTCTACTTCAATCTGAAATGAAGCAATGCAACGCTCTGGCGAATCCGACGTGCACCAAAGTGCCAACGGAAGTCTCTCCCGATCCGGTTCTGAATAACCCAGCTCGGTACAGGAGCATCACCGGATCACTTCAATATTTGACTCTTACCCGTCCGGACATTTCGTACAGCGTCAACCTTCTTTCGCAGCATATGCATGATCCGCTTCCAATGCATTTTTATCTACTAAAATGCTTGCTCAGATACATTTGAGGTACGTTACATTATGGTCTACCAATAACGAAAACTAATTTAATTCTCAAATCTTTTTCAGATGCCGACTGGGCAGGCGATCTACTAACAAGAAAGTCCACATCCGGCTACTGTTCATTCTTAGGCGATTCGCTCATCTCATGGACCGTCAAGAAGCAAAGAACGGTATCTCACTCTTCTACTGAGTCTGAGTACAGAGCTCTCGCCGATCTCACAACAGATATCGTCTGGCTTCGCCGATTGCTTACCGAGTTTGGCATCTCGCAAAGTTACCCGACGGATCTCTACTGCGACAATATGTCCGCTATTGCTCTTGCCAACAACCCCGTGTTTCACTCGCGCACGAAACATGTTGAAATCGATCAAAAGTTCGTAAGGGATCATATTCAGCTCAACAATATCCGACTTCATCCCATTAGCACGATTGATCAAGTCGCAGATATCTTCACAAAATCCCTCTCTACTCCGCGTTTTACTACTCTTAGAGGCAAATTGACGGTCATGATGGACCCATCAATTTGACGGGGAGTATTAGAATAGATATATAAATAATGTATAACATTTTGGTATGTTTGTAATATGTCTTTATTAGGTTCTCTTTCCAGCAGCTTCTACTGTATCTGTTTGTCTATATATAGGAAGCTGCCCTTGTATGTAAGACAGATAATATAATATAATTTTCCCTCTACGTCTTCTCTGTCTCTTGAGCTCTGCTTCTACACTTTCTATAATTGTTGGCCGACTATGTGGCGATTAATTCAAGAAAAGAATTCACCATCGAGATATTAATAGGTGACATTACTGTAAGGCGAAGTTGACAAACACAAACATGTGCACGCTATTTAATTAGGTTTTAAGCAGACCAACTTTAAAAACAAAACCAATACAAATTAATAAGCAAAATTTAAAATTTAAAATAAACCACCACCATGAGACACCAAAATGAACAAATTGAAAGGCTCTATTTGATTGTAGATTGGTTTTTAATTTATGAACAGAAATTTTATGAAATTAATATTTTTAATTATTTTGATTTGGCCCATTTTGATTTACTTTGGTCTTAAAGGGTATTAGAACTGAAGAACAAACCTTTACATAAATAAATCTGACGTGTCATTTCTTCTTTAGTCACTACTTGTATTCACTTATGTACCTGTCTATATATATTAGTTCTGATACCATGAAGAAACACAAGAACGTGCACACGAGATCAAAAGAAGATGAGGAAAATAAAGTTTTCATTACCGTAGAACAGTACATAGCTAGTATATATAGACAGGTACATAAGTGAATACAAGTAGTGACTAAAGAAGAAATGACACGTCAGATTTATTCATGTAAAGATTTATTCTTCTGTTCTAATAAAGGGTTTTCATTGATTTGTTCTAATTCAATTTGACACTTTGTTATAAATTAATGAATCATCTTTTTGTAAAATAATAAAAAAGAGATGTGATTCTACCAAAATTATTCGAACAACAACTAGGTGATATAAAATAAAAATTTGACTTTTAATTATATATATTATACTAATATGTTTTATTTGGTTTATTTAGATTTATAAAAACTTGAAAATGAAGTTGAGATACTAGTCGACCAAGAAAGGACTAACCGAATTTCCAGCGAGCCTGGACAAGGCCGACTTCGGGGTTGTGGATGAGAAATGGAAGTGTGCGGAGGAGGAAGTCGGACTCAGGCTGGAAATCGGCGTCAAAGATGGCGACAAAGTCACAGTTCTTCACATAGCTGTGCTTCATGCCCTCCCTGAGCGCACCAGCCTTGTAACCATTTCGGTTGTCTCGTATCTCGTACCTAATGTTGATCCCCTTGCTCGCCCACCGCTGGCATTCGATCTCCACCAGATCCTGCAATCTCCACCGTCAACATGCAAGCAAAACATTTGATCAAACACATGAATTTTTTTTTGAATTTGTGTTTTTTGTATAATTGCTATATAAATATTTTATATTTTAGATTAACTGCTTTTATATTTTGATAATTTATCTTATGCTCTCACAAAATATATCAAAAAATGATTAGGAGATGTTTGGTCGGCTGCATCCGTGAGATGTTGTATTTGTTTTTTTGTGCTTCAAAATTTCGATATGAAAAAAATGAAAAAAAAAATATTTTAAGGTGTTGAAATATGTTGATAATCACTTAAAATTAGTCACAGGTTCAGTTCCCAATGCCCAATACGATTGCAGGAGGCACTTGACAGCATAACTAATCTCTCAGTGACCTAGAAGAGGCACTCACCCCAAAAACCTCTTAGCCCCCACTTGATTGGGCCCCACTTAAGAGACGTTGCCGTTTAAGTAGATTTGAGCACGGGTCAACCGCACTCACCCACCAACCAAATTAAGCATAAGTGGGTGTCGCCCATTACTTAGGTTTCATTTGATATAACTTTTTTAATACTTTCTAAAATAAGTTTCTCGTATAATTTTTTTTTTTGGGACATTTAGGCCATTTAAGGAAAACTCACACACAACGCATACACAAAGACTCGAACCCAAGACCTCTTAGTTGAAGGCATAAGCTCTCAACCAACAGACCAAGATGAGCCGTGTTATAAAATTTTTTTTGCCAAGTAATTTGTACTAAAAAGTTGCTTTATAAAAGAGTAAGAATACTGTAATAAACAAAGCTTTAATATTCGCTGTCCGTCATTTTGGCCTTATTTTACATAAAATCAAATATCGATCTCTTGCAAGTTCCTCCGATGCTGTTTCCATCGAAATTCCGTCGCAAATTCTTTGTCTCTCGATCATCCGGTAAGCTTGTGTTGCAACTCACCACGATTTCATCTTCGTTGTTCTGGATTTCGTTAATGGATTGATATATTTTATAAATAATAATAAAATTTATGTATTAAATATGTATGTCTGATAATTTTGAGTGCCATTTATGTAAATCCAAAAAAAATGCAGGCAAGGAAACAGGCAAAGTAGCATTCACGCTAAAACCAATCAAAACGCAGGAAGAATCAGATTAAAACAGAGGGAGTATGAAAATTTTAAACACACAATTTAAAAGGGAGAAGAGGAAGATGAAAAAAATATGAAAATACAAAGAATTGACCTTGATGACTGAGTCTGTAGAATCGTCGAGCACTTGAATGATGATTCGATCGGACGGCCATGAAAGCCCGCATGCAGCTCCGATTGAGAGCTTGTAAACCTGTAACCACCCCCCAAAAGGTAAAGACTCTAGAGAGAGAGAGAGAGAGAGAGAGAGAGAGAGATGAGAACCTCTTTTTCATTGTACATGGGGATTTGAACGAGAACCATGGGGAAAGCCGAGCTGCCCAGCTCGAGATCATCACGGAGGGGCTCCCATTTGTATAGCTTCTCAGGGCGCTTTCCGAAGAGCTTGAGGACAACGATGACGACGGTCATGTAAATTTTCTCCACGAAGAGCATCAACGACATCACCAGGCACAGGAACACTGCCACGCGCAGCAATGGTAAGATCACCGGCGCCTTCACCTGATCCCACATTAACCCAATCTGTCCGGCGATGTCATTGCTCGCCCCTTGGAATAACTCCGATGACACCATCTCCATTTCGAACGGAGATTTCTTTTTGTTGGGAAATTACGCGAGGCAATAAAGCGGAGGGGATAGTCGGATAGTCGGCCGCTCATCCACCCAAATCTTTGTTGATTGATAGATAGAGAAACGTGGGGAGATTATCCTTAAATTAATGGAAGAATGAATTTCTTCCCTGAAATCTTCCCCTCTTCTTGCCGACGAAGCTCTGTGATGGCCCAACCTCTATGATTAACAAAACAGTCGTAACGCCGGTAAGCCGAAAGCACGAGAGCGGAAGGCTTCCCCTCCCCTGAGCCCCCAATACCCAACTGAGTCCGAATAAGATGGTCATAAATGGCAAATGGTATAAACAAACGGCGGTCGAGGACTGAGGAGGAAAATAGTCAAATACAATGCACCTCCCAAAAATGGAAAACAGAATGTCTTTTTCTTCCCGCCTATTTCCTCATTTAATTATTTAAATTTAGGATTCCTTTGAGTAGGGGTGTCAATTTCGGGTCACAGGTCGGGTTCGGGTCGAACCCGAACTGATCCGGGTGGAAAACGGGTCGACCCTAACCCGACCCGGGTAGAGAAACGGGTCGAAAATCCGAACCCGGACCCGACCCGCGCGGCATGGAACTCGGCAGCGAGCGGCAAAGGCGACGGCGGCACCGCGGCAGCGCGGGCGGC